TGACTTTTACGAGCCGGCTTTTATTCGCCAGGACCTGATCGGCTTTTGGCCTGATTTACAATGTGATTTACATAAGCAGACGAAAATAAAGTCATAAAATTCAATAAAGTGCACACTGACAAAGGAAATTAAATGGCCAGGAAAGGAAAGTTCCTCCTCTCCATTCGGAGAGCAAAGTTTTTGTGACATTTCGGCCCCCAGCTGCAGCTGCTGTTGATTAGAATAATTCTGGCGAATTATGACACAGGACTGCGACTCCTGGCGGCGACTTCCTGTCAACCAACTGCCAGCCGAGTCAGGACCCAAGTTTGGGGAAATGAAAAATGTATAAAACAGGAGCTGCATAAAAATTTCATTTATTTGTCGCGCTCGTTAAACGCCAAGGCGAGATGGCGCTAACATTTGCATAAATCCCCCCAGGCAGCCTTAAAGCCATTTAAAGTGTGCAAATTAGTTGGCTCCGAAATAAGCAATTGTTTAAACAATTTCGATTTTTAATTTGGGACAGGTATGCACAGAGAAAAGCATTGTTTGGTTTATTTACTCAATTTAAATTAATAAATATGGTTTTTAATAGTACTAGAGTATAATAAAAATCTGATACAAATTCTCTTATTAATAATAAATGTTTTATTAAATATGAATTAATAAATTTATTAAGACAACTTCTTACAAAATACAAAAAAAAAATTAAGGTTTGATCTTATTATGTTATCCCTATAATCCCTAATATTTTTTCATTGTGTTTATGAGTTTGTAATTAATTTGCTAAATAGAATCAATTGTTAAAATTAATATTAATTTGAAACTAGAAGTAATATACCAAATAATCAATAATAAATGTATCAAACACATATTTAAAGATGATTTAAATGAAATTTCTTATTTAGCTAACTATTCGTTTTAAAGAAAACTTTGCAAACCTAATCTAAGCCATATCAGTAAATTATTAGTTATATAGGTAAATGCAACTCTTATTAAAATTATTTTTTTCCCCATTATTAATTATTTCTTTTGTAAATTTAAATTTATTCCAAGACTTTTCTCTGTGTGTACGAATACAATTTGGGTAAAATATTCGTCTAGTTAGCAACAGGCAAATATGGGTTTTCCCCTGGCAAATCAGCAATTGCAGTGTTTGCATAACCGAGCTCTGTATGTATGTAAATCTGCGTACTTTGGCTAAGTCAACATCAGCTGGCAGGCAGAGAGCCTTTAAAAAGGATTCAGGGACTCGGGGATTCAATGGATGGGGAATTCTCTGCTATCGAGAGCTCTCAGCAATCTCAGCAATGGGATGCGGCATGTAAAATTCATAAGCAGCTCATTAAATATTTAGACCGCAACATTAGTGGCCGGGGCCACATAAATTATGGCAAAGATAAATCTAACCACGACAAAAGGAGAGCCAGAGAATCTTAAGGTTCCACCGATAACCATTATATCTATGACTGACACCTATATATATGTATATATCCTATATCCTATATGACTTGACATCGGCAATCGCAGGTCATAATGCTGGGCGATTCGGGAGTGGGCAAGACCTCGCTCCTGATCCGTTTCCGCGATGGTCGCTATGTGCCGAGCTATTTCCTCAGCACGGTCGGCATTGATTTTAGGGTAAGCGCTTTGTTCCCGCCGTTTGTTCTATGCTACGCTCCTATTTTGTTTAGTTCCTCTATGATACTCCTATATATTCTGTGTGTGCGCCGTGTGTGTTTTGTTCTCAAGTACATGTGTGTATATTGTTCTTATTGTCATTATCCATGTTGTTGTTCTTATTGTTGTTGTTGTTTGTCGTTGCTTGTTGTGGATACTCTTCCTCTATCATTGTTGTATATGTACTTTTCGCATAAGTATTTTCTCCTTCCCCCATCACAGTTTACTCACATCTCTGACTCTGGCTCTGACTCTCGCATCATTTATCCATCTATTTGAACTGTCCGTCACTGTGTACACAGAGAGAAAAAAATTAATAATATTCTTTATCAAACTAGCAAAAACTAAAGTCAGTAGATTTATGTATGTAATTTTTACTGATGCTTAAATTTAAGTTTTAATGAACCATGAAATATATATATTATATTGGACAATTGCCTTATGTTATTTTTGGTTTAAAAGTGTAAGGAATAGGCAGACTGGCCTTCTTAGTTCACAAAGGAAACAAGTTCCTAGAAGTCAAAGAGTCCTGCAAACTTAAAAAGTTTTCAAACTTGTTACTTCATTAAAGTAACAAGTTCCAGGAATTGAAAAAAAGTATTTCATTTATTGTGGTAATTTCAAAGGTACACATTACGTTGAATTAAATATTACAAATTAACTTAAACTAGATATTTAAAATTTGAACATTTGAAATTACTGTATTATTTTGTTTTTAAAGAATGTTAATGGTAGGGCAAAGTTATAACTTATAAAGACCATTGATTAAATAAACTTTTCTTCAGACTCAATGTTTTTGTTTATACTAATGAAGCTATAGATATTATATGTATGAATATTTTAGGCTTACCGATCGATTTGCGATTAGATCCTATAATTTAATTGCGAACTTAAAGGGTATGTTGACTTCGACATCCCTTTCTGGTCTTTAAGATACGATACATGTCCGCCGCTTATTCATTTCTATATATCATTGTTTAAAATACATTTAAAGTGGTAAAAAAATGAGTATTCAGGATAATTTTCGATATTTCAATTTTCAAATAACCTAATTTACGATTCTGATTAGATATTAAACAACATCAGACTTTTCCCCTAGACATATGTATATGTGTACCTTTAAGCTAAAGCTCTGGTTAGTTACTTAGTTTTTACTCTCTGTGTAGCACTCTCACTTCTTCTTTCACCGCTCAGTGCGCCCTGTCAACAGTTGTCAAGGTTCTGAATGCGATTTTCACCTACTTACCTCTCTGCTTTAACGCTGTCTCTGTCTCTGTCTCTGTCTCTGTCTATATATCTTTGTCTGCCTCTGTCTCCGTCTCTTTCTACCCATCTGTGTCTTTCCCTTTCTCTGACCCATCTATGGGCTGTGGTTTTCATGATTTCGTAGTTGCCTGCGGTTGTCCTCTTTATGTTCAGTTCATCTCCGTGTTCTTGTTCTTGTTCTCGTTCTTGCCCCAAAACCCCACAAAAGCCACCACCTCCACTCCAAGCAAAACCCTACAAATCCGGGCCCCAGTCCAGTTCGCCGTGCTGGGGCTTGTTGTTGATAAAGATAAAGATCCTTGGGGACTATTTATTAAAAAGCATGTGAACTTGAAAAGGACTTGTTGATGTTCGTTTCTCCTCGTGTCCCCGCGTGTGTGTGTATCTGTATCTGCCTTGGTGTGTGTTCTGTTTACTCTTCTTCAACGTATTTAACTTGGTGTTATTGCTTTTATTGTGCTTATTATTGTGGGGGTTCCTGTGCGATTCAACATTTAGAGGCTTAGTTGTCCTGGAGGACTGCTGCTGCTCCTCTAGCTTCCCTCCATAACCCACCTCACTAGATCCCTGCTTTCCTTTGCGGTTCATGGCTCATAAATTTATTAAACTACACGCGGGGATTGCCTCTGCCTCTATTTCCTATTCCTCTATCTGTCCTGTGAAATTTTACAAGTGCCCCCATTCGTTTGGCGTTTCCTTGACTTTAAATTGTTGCCATGTTTTCTATATTAAATATGTCGACGCTGGCATTGTCTAACTTTGGCCTCGGGGAATGCCTTCCAGCTCACCAACCACCGGCGCCTCCTCCGCCGCCGAAGCCCATCCAGGGTGAAGTGGTGGAGCGCGGTGGGGAATGACCTGAAATTTAATTCGCCGGGGAGTTGTTCATGTTGATTTTTCAACTTGGCTGATTCCTGGCCAAAGTATAAAGTAAACGAATATTGTATATGAGTGACTGCCAATTTATGGATAATTAAATGTTTGAACTCTCTAGATGTAAGCAGTGTTGTTCATGAACTTGTATTTTGCCTCCTCTCAATGTTGTAAAATATGTTTGTGAGTTGTTGTTTTTTGTGTGTGTACTTTTATTCATCTGAATCATCATGTATCTGGTCAAATATTGGGTTTTTTTATATTTATACACTGCGAAAACATGAATAATATTTATTTCCTTAAATTACCTTTAATACATCTGATACTATAATTCATATTTAAAATATTTAAATTATGTCGGGATTACATTAATTTTTAAATATTGAGTTATTCCCGAATTTGTGGCAGTGCATTAACCTGCTGTGTGCTCAGCCAGAAATTCTGGATTTATCTTTTTACTCGTATTACTTTCCCTGAACTTGAGCTTGGAATCGAAATCAAATCAAGGCAATATGCCGCACATATACATTAAATTCATACACCCGTACTAGTACCTTTTGCCGTATGTCCTGTGTCCTCCCCTGTGTATCCTGTGTGCCTCTCCCGTACCTCCTCGCACTTTATTGGTATTGACTGACTGTCTGAGTAGTTAGTTGGAGGGGGACAAACACAGCATGGGGCAATCGTAATGGCAATGGCCGGACGAACTTACAACGTCTGCTGCTCATTATCCAGGAAAAAGGCAAAATACATACAAGGAGAGGCAGCGGCTCATCATTATGCCGGATCCTATAAAGGCGGTGGGCTTTCATCATGGAAATTGCCATCGCCTGCCCGTACTTATGAATATTCCCTTTCTCGATTTTATTTTACATGTCTGCATGTGTTTTTGGGTCCACAGTCACACGAACACACGTTGCGTATAAGTGATGTGCATTAAGCATACGCCACGTTGCCTTCTCTTCTTCTTTTAGTCCCACTCTGTATCCCTTTCCCTCTTTGTCTCTCTCTCTCTCTCTCTTTCTCTCTCTCTCTATATACATATGTAATTCGGTGGCACGGCTTTTGTGCATGACCATTTAATTAATTGCATTTTACATAACAATTCCACGGGCGAATTTCGTGCTTGGTTTTAATAAATTAATAAATAAATAAAATACACTTTGTTCAATTACAAAAATTACAAAAAATTCCAACAGAATAAAGTGGTCGTCGTCGATGGCACCCGCGTCAAGCTGCAAATATGGGATACAGCCGGACAGGAGCGATTCCGAAGCGTAACACACGCCTACTACCGCGACGCACACGGTAAGTAAATCCCTTGACTTTGCTCTTTCACTAAAACTAAAAACTAACCAAAACATGTGTACATCAAATGCACAAGTCTATGATATTGCAAACTATTCTTAGTTTATGTAAACCGGCTTTGCAACTTTGTTAGAGGTTACATCAAATGTAATCATTTTCTTTTTCCATGTAATAAACTACATTATTTCCAGCTCTAGGAATTGTTAATGTTTTATGGTGTTATATTCCTAAAAATTCTAATAAGCTCTTCTCTTTGCAAAAGGAAACGGAATGCGACATTTTCTCAATTACCTTATTCCTTGGAACTTAGGAAAATAGTATCGTTTTTCTCCTTTAACTTTGTAAATAACACCTCTGACAAAGAGCTCTTGGAATTTAATAGTAAAATAAATCATTCCTTATAATTTCAATTAATTCATATTACGTATACGCGTTATTTTTAGTTAGGGAACGTTTTCCATTTTCTTGCACATTTCGCTGTATTTTTGTTCTTGTGCATATCCCCATGTGACCTTGCACCGACTTTCTTTTAAACCAAATTAAATCTGTCATCTGCATCCGAAGCTCTGCTGCTGCTGTACGACGTGACCAACAAGACCACCTACGACAACATACGCGCCTGGCTGGGCGAGATCCGGGAGTACGCGCAGGAGGATGTGGTCATCGTTTTAATAGGTGAGAGATCCGGTTAAAAGGCCACCTTTTCGCCACATTTGATTATGCTTAATCAACTTACGAGTTTCGAATCGAATTTCCTCCGCCTTTCAGGCAACAAGGCCGACTGCAGTGGCAGCGAGCGGCAGGTGAAGCGCGAGGATGGCGAGCGCCTGGGACGGGAGCACAACGTGCCCTTCATGGAGACCTCGGCCAAGACGGGACTTAATGTGGAGCTGGCCTTCACAGCGGTGGCCAGGTAGGTCTTCCTATTCACAGACACAGCACAAATTAGTCAATACGGAGCTTCAGAGGATGGGGAATGTCTCCCCTTTTTCTGGTCATTATGATTGTATTGGAGACATCTTTGTCAGCTTAGTCTTTGACTTCCTCGAACGCCTCCCCGCCTCCTATTCAACCATTTCATCGCCATTGTCGTATCTCTTGTCATCAACAGGCAGCTGAAGAGTCGCGGCTACGAGCACGGCGATGATGGAAAGTTCAATGTGCATGATTTTGTGCGTGACAATACAAAGGCGCGCTCCGTTTGCGCCCAGTGTCGGAACATGTAATTGGCCAATTGCCGCGTAGGAGCCACATCCTCCCCATTCCGATCCCGATTCCGACTCCGGCTCCGACTCTGACTCTGATTCCGAACCTGTTTCCGAGCACAAAGAAGAGAACACCACACAATAAACCGGCACACAGATCAAAGGGAAGAGTGAGGCGCACTCAGAAGGATACGGACAAGGACACGGGCATGGTCACGAACACGGAGGGCATAAAAGAGCTCCGGCATTTAATGAAGCACACACAAACAAAAAGAAACACTGACAAGATGGCACCAATTTTGTAAGACCCTAGTGAGAAGATAGAAGAGAGTACTCGGTATGTTTTGTATGTAAATGGGAACTTCGGGGCGGAACGGGACGCGATACGTATAATTTTTTAGGGCAGGCCACCGCATTGGCATTGATTGATGCATAAAAAATATTGAACAATATATATATATATACAAATATCCTTATACAACTGCATAAATTACTTTAACGAGAGAAATAGAGAGATAGAGCGGGGCGGATAAAACGCAGCAAAATCATGCAACATTGAGATTTATCCAGCACGCCGTTGGATTTCGCCAAGGATCGCAAGGATCCTACTAGGATATCTACACCCCCCGCTTGGCCATCTCGAGAGTGGGAACCAAATCCAATTAATGAGAAACAATCACTCAATTTACCTACGATTATATTTTGTTTATAACTCCTAATCGTTAAGTGTTATGATGGCCTATCGTTAAGTTTTAGAGAAACCCACGCCGAGAGGAGACCCTTGGAAATTATTTACACACCCCACTAATGAATACCCTACGCAACTAAGTTAATTACTTACTATTACTGCTACTATTACTATTACTATTACTACCTATCTATGTAAGCCCTGCCCAAACCCATTCGAGACGAGACTTCATACATATTTTGAGAGGCGCGCCGAGGCGAAGGGTTGCGCATAATCAAAGGCAGTTGAACTATTACTACACTGTGCTACTACAGCAGAGAATCCGATGCGTACATATATCACAGAATGGATGTAAACTAGCAAATAACAGCGTTATATTCAAGCAGACGTCAAGTCTATACCATAAACAGCAAATACATATTTACATTGAATGTGGTTTAAAAAAACGAACGATTCTGCGTTTTATTTGGTCATTGAGTTGGGCTTCAAAAATAAATTCTAAAAATGATAAGAAATTCAAATTTAACGCCTGCCAAAAAGATTAACCAGATCTCAGTATTACCGCAAACCGCAAAAATACTAGATTTATTAATACATTATTTTACTAGAATAAAAGTATTTCCAACCTTGGTCACACTGGCGCGGAACATGTGCTTGAGCGAAAACAAAAAATTCAACGCAGATTAATTGGATTTTTAGTCGGTTAAAACACCTGCAAGCATGGCGGATCACGCTTTTCACCGGCCCGGGCCGCTGAAGCAAACGAACAAGGCCCACAAAACGGGGCGTCATCGCTCCAAGGGAGCCATTGATAATGCCATGAAGGGTAAAGTTAAATCTTAAAGAGATTTCCATAGGAAAGCCCCTGCTTAACCCTGTTCATCCTTCGCTTACAGGCAAGGTGGGACTCCAGGCTGTGTCCCACAAGCACAAGCAGCAGCAGCGCAAGGAGCAGCGCCGCAACCAGATGAATCAGCTGCGCAGGAACAAGCGGGAGGAGGTTCTGGAGCAGAAGAGGAAGCTCGGTGGCCAAAACACGGCTCCCTTCCTGGTCTGCCTGCTGCCCATGCACGAACAGATCGACCCTAAGTCGGCGCTGGCCATCCTTGAGAGCTGCGACAGCGAACTGGTGGTGGAGAACTCGCCGAGCGGAATCGTCTACATGAATCTTCCCCGATTTAAGCAGCGTTTCGCCTTCGTTACTCCGCCAGCGGGTCGTGGCAACGAGCTGATTGCCCTGGACTACCTGAAGGTTTGCGATACCACCTTGCTTCTGACATCCGCCGCCTTTGGCGAGGACGAGATCTTCGACCGCTGGGGCGAGCGGATCTTCAACATGATGTCCGCGCAGGGCATACCCACCCCTGTGGTTGCTCTTATGGATCTGGAGTCCATTAACCCTAAGCGAAGGCCCGCGACGAAGCAGGCAGCGCAGAAGTTCATCTCCAAGCTGCTGCCGGAGGAGAAGGTTATGCAGCTGGACACGGCCACAGAGGGTCTGACTGTGATGCGTCGCATTGGTGGTCAAAAGAAGCGCATCTTGCACAATGTGGCCAATCGGCCGCATCTCTTTGGCGACGTGGTTGAGTTCAAGCCGAATTCGGATCCCAGCGATGATCTCGGAACCCTGGAGGTCACGGGGTTTCTTCGCGGACAATCCCTGAATGTGAACGGCTTAGTGCACATTCCCGGACTGGGTGACTTTCAGTTGGGACAGGTGGTGGCACCGCCAGATCCATACAAACTGGACAAATCCCGCGACGGCGAGAACGCTGGGGTGCGTCTTTTGGATCGCAGTGATCCACTAAAGCGCACTTCGCTGCAAAGCGAAAATATACCTGACCCCATGGACGCGGAGCAGACGTGGCCCACGGAGGAGGAGATCGTTGCCTCGCAGCAGGAGACGAAGAAGATGAAGCTGGTGAAGCGCGTGCCCAAGGGCTACAGCGAGTACCAGGCGGCCTGGATACCCGATGTCGAGGAGGTGGAAGATCCGGACAGCAAGGGAGACGATGACATGAGCGAGGACTCTGATGACGACGACGAAGGCGACGAGGATGACGAGGACTTCATGTCGTGCGACAACAAATCCTTCGAGGATGAGTATGAGAAGCGTGATTCCGATACTGAAGAGTACCTGGACAGCGTGTCCGTCTCATCGGAGGCGGCCATCAACGACGAAAAGTACGACAACCAGATGGACTTCCAGGAGGAACGGGAGACGCTGCAGAAGCTGCAGCAGGCGCGAACAGATCAGCTGTGGCCAGATGAGATCGACACTCCACTGGACGTGCCCGCCCATGAGAGATTCCAGAAGTACCGCGGCCTGGAGTCATTTAGGACGTCACCATGGGATGCAAAGGAGAATCTGCCCGCAGATTATGCGCGCATTTATCAGTTCCAGAACTTTGACCGGACCAAGCGGAGGATTCTGGCCGAAGCCAAGGAGTTTGAGGGTGTGCTGGTGAGTGTGAGTTTTTTTTGACCCCACCCTCTGTCTATAATGTTCTATATCTCATATTTAGCCCGGTTTCTATGTCACGCTGCATGTGATCAATGTGCCGGAAAGTCGGTGGAACGCCTTCAGGTCCGCCCAGCTCACGGACAACATCGTTGTGTATGGAATGTTGCCACATGAGCACCAGATGTGCATAATGAACGTTGTCCTGCAGCGAATGCCAGACTCAGAGGTGCCTCTGAAGTCCAAAGAGCAACTGATTATCCAGTGCGGCTATCGACGCTTTGTGGTGAATCCCATCTACAGCCAGCACACGAATGGGGACAAGCATAAGGTGAGGTTAAGACGACTTTACATGGTTAATGTTTTAATGTTAATGGTAATCTCTCTTCCAGTTCGAGCGCTACTTTCGTCCGTATGAGACGGTTTGTGCCACGTTCTACGCCCCCATTCAGTTCCCTCCGGCCGCTGTGCTGGCCTTTAAGGTGAATCCCGACTCCACGTTAGCACTAGTTGCACGCGGACGGCTGCTTTCCTGCAATCCCGATCGCATTGTTCTCAAGCGCGTCGTCCTCAGCGGCCATCCCATGCGCATCAACCGCAAATCGGCGACGATCAGGTACATGTTCTTCTACAAGGAAGACGTGGAGTACTTCAAGCCGGTTAAACTAAGGACCAAGTGCGGACGCCTAGGACATATTAAGGAGTCGCTCGGCACCCACGGCCACATGAAGTGCTACTTTGATGGCCAGCTGCGATCCTATGACACTGCCTTCATGTACCTGTACAAGCGAGTCTTCCCCAAGTGGACATACGAGGAGTGCCTGGTGCGAACCGCAGAGCACGAGCGCCAACATGCGTCGGCGAACAGGAGAAATGAGGAGCAGCAGGTGGCGATGGATATTTAGCTTACCGTCTCGTGTGACAGTAATGTATAATAGGAATAATAGAATTATATTCACAAACAATTGTCTTAACTTACTGCAGAGGCAATACAATATACATACATAAAACGTGGATACGATTAAAAGCCTGCCGCATTGCACAAGGATCCAGGATCAAGGTCGGGCTCTCATATATGGCTAATACAGATTTGTGGCTAGGATGGGGTTAGTGGAATTGGGGACTCCGTATATTCAGTAATTGGTGGACAAGCACTTGCGCCGCTTCTTCTGCAGCTGCTCAATCTGCTCGCTGATCTGGGTGGGCACTTGGAAACCTCGGACAATGCTGTTCACGTTCAGGACCGTTGCAATGAACTGACTGATGGATATGTGCCAGGACTCTGAGATGTTTGTGCTGCTACTGCTGCTGCTGTCGGTCCTGGCCTTTCCGCCAGCCGCCTGACGCAACTCCTCCTCGAGAGCCACAAAGAGGCGGGTGGTGCTGCTGGGCTCCGCCGCTGGAGTCGTGGGATTGCCATTGCTATCCGGCTGCTATAAAAGAGGGAACGACATTGGTTTACTCAATTTGTATTTCTTATAGTCGGCTGAACACCCACCTCATCACCACTGCCACCCATATTTAATTGGGTGAAGCTCTCCAGGCTGGGCTCCTTCTTGATATTGCTGTTGCCCAGCTCCAGGAGATTCTCATCTATAAATAAAATACAACTTTGAAGCCAACACGTTCTGGATCTTCTTCTAATGGTCAGTACTTACATGCTCTTTGCATCTCCTCGTCCTGTACCAGACCCATAATTTCTATAATGCTGCGCCACAGCAGCTGGAAATTCTCCTTGCGCATGTGCGGAATGCTATGCTGCGAACTGGACGCCCCCTCATCGGGCTGGTCAAGGAGGTAGCCGAGGCTTCCCAGACTTCGGGAGTCCGTGGCATTCGAATCGGCGCGCTCAAGTCGTGTGGCAGCTACCAGGTCGCTGATCTGTGAGAAATTCGATATAGTCTCGACATTCAGAAGCATTGGATCGGCGGCGGCCGCAGCTGAGGCTGCACCGGCTGCCGCATCCGCTCCTGCTCCCGGCGGCGTCATGCGGGCCGCTCCCAGATCTGAAATATCCGAAAATGTGTCAATCGATTCGTAACGTCCCTGCTGGCGAAGCCCTCTCAGGGGCCCGTCATCGTCCCGCCCAGCATCTGTGGATGTTGCAGTACCCTGGTGTGCCGGCAGATCCACGTAGAATGTCGAGTTGCGCTGCACCAACGATGAGGCGTTGGAGTTAAGCGAGAGATTGGGCGTAGTGCGCGATAAGTCCATGAACGTGTTGCCCGAGATCCCGGCCAGATTATGCAGATGCTGTGTGGCACTAACCAGGGCAAAGTCGTCGGCATCAAAGTTGTGATCCGAGGGCGATGGCAGAGCCTCCATCGACTCCGAGGCATCGTTGCTGCAAAACAGCGATTAATAAAATATTAAATTAATTAAAAGCTTGAACTTACTCAAAGAAATCCTCCGCCTCAAAGGCCTCCTCGGCATCGTCTTTGGTGCGCGGACGCGGCCGTCGCGATCGTTCAATCTCAGCCTTGGACAGCAGTGGCGGCAAATGCAGGACAAACAATAGCTTCAGCTTCTCCATGCTCTTGGCGGAGCAGACCAGGCCTAGGGCGTTGATGAGCTGACCAATGTCGAGGTTACCAGTGCCCTTTTTGTCGGTGAGCTGATATACAATAAATTTAAGAAATTTCCTCGGTATGCATCCCTGGGATATAACTCACCCTGAATAGTTTTTCGCCAATGTCCACGCTGACACATTTGCGCCAGGGAGTTAGCTCCGTGAAAAGCGTGTGGAATACCTCAAAGTTGACGCAGTATGCCTCGTATCTGCCAATAGAGGCGGCCGCATCCTGGGCTGCTCTGCTCGGCGATTGTGGCAACAGCTGAGGCATCTCGGACAGCGGACACTGGGTCTTTTGTTGCTGCTGTTGCAAAGACTTCAGAGCGTGCTTCTCCTCCCGAATGATGGTGAGCAGCATGTGCAGCTCGCTGCGGTTGAAGTATGGATTCTGGACGTAGGCCTTCACAATGGTTTTCTCGTTATCAATATCGAATTGTCGCATGGTCAGTCGGCGGTGTTTGTTCCGCAGTTCGTCGATGCGCTGATGAGTCAACTCTTCGCCGAACTTGGTGTACGCCTCATGGATCAGCGTCTGCACGGTTTGGGTCTGGGTGCGCTCCATCTTACGCTTGTCGTTAGTGGGTGGTACCTGGTACTCCGGATTGTAGATCCCCTCTAGGTAGTGCTGCAGCACTAGCATGGCCTCGCCATCGTCCTGACACTTCAGCAGCTTATCCCGGTTCCACTCGATGATCTGCAGAGAGATCATGAAAATTATCTTGGCGCCCTCATAGAAGAAGCAGTCGAGGATGTGCAGCGAGCTCTCGTAGCTGATCACACTCATGAATATTGTGAGGAACCAGGAAATGGAGATCATCTTGATCACGCCGAGCTTCTCTAAGTGACCGTGCAGGTCAGGCAGATGGGTCTCCACCAGCTCGTTGAGCACGCCCTGATCGATCTGCGCACCAACCACCTTGTCCTTGTAGTAATCCGGCAACAGATTCTCGCACAGACTGGCCAGCATCCAGAAGGCATTCTCCTCGTCGCAAAATAGCAGGAACACAGACGACACTATGTTCATCGCCTGGCAGTAGCCAACTTGTGGATTTCTCAGAGCATAGGCCTGCAGGACTCGTCGGAGGGCGCCGATGCCGTCTGTGCTTTGGAATGCCGGATGCTCGGGCAGCGAGCGTGGCAAGTCACGATCGATCTCGTCATGGGCAAAGCAGTTCTTGATGCAAGCCGCCTTTTCAACAAGATCCTCGTAGAGTCCCGGATTCATTTCCTTATCATGAATCGCACCGGAAAAGATCAACCAGATCTCCTGCCGCAGCTGGTCGGGAATGCCCTCCACAATTAGGTTGATCACATCCGTGGTGCGAAACATGCCAATGCCGCGCCCAAAGTCCCGGAAGTGCGCCTCCCAGCGCACCATCTTCTCCTCCTGCTTGCGGATGATATCGGCGCTGAACTGCGTTTTAAAGGTGTTCATTAAAGCCGTCTGCTTGCTCCACGAAATGTCGTACTTTGCACGCTCCCGACTCACAGGACTGTTGTAAAATAAATATTAATTTTATAGACTATAAGGTACTTCAATTTAAAACATACATGTGAATGCGTGCCAGCAAATCTGTGATCTTGGAAATCAGCACATCCCGGTCCACGATCTGAGCAAACATGAAAGGCACATTCTCCGATGTTATAATGACAATTTGATTGTCAAACCGTTGCTGGCCATCGTCCTTTTTCTCCACACTCTGCAACAAATCAGAAAATTGTAATAGAGGTGGAAGCAGGCTACTTGGAAACTCACCTTAATGGTCTTCATGGGTATCACCACACTGACCAAATCCTTGACATCACTGCGAAAGCAGAAGAAGTTCGGTGATAGGTAGATGTAGCCGGCATTAAACCGCTTCGAGTAGGGCGTCCAGATATTTGCCTTGATCTTTCCATCGATTATCTCCGATTGCGGCAGCCGGAAGTGAATGCGGAACTCTTCGGACTTCTGGCGAGCCGTCAAGTCCCGCAGCAATACAGGCTTCTTGGACACCTTGTTACCCAACCGTGCGAAGTTCGAGGGATCGTGATCGACGACGGGGCTGTCGGGGTCATGGATCAACTGTTTTATGGCCATTTTATTGAGCTGCTCAATCAACAGATGCGCCTCCCTGGCATTGAAGAGCATTGTAAAGTTATAGGTCATGTTGTTGGTGGTCTTCAGATAAATGGTATTGGCATTTCGACTGATGTCCTCGAGCTCAGCGCAGCGTATGATGCGCTTTATCTCCTGCCCCAGCATGTACGAGTAAAAGCAGACGTGGTTCATCGAAATGTACAGCGTTCCCTGCCGCGGGATCTTGTTCTTGACATATCTGCGAAAGGGACAGTGAAAATTATTAAGAACTCTATCTTCAAGCTAAAGTTGTTGGCGTCCTTACGTGGCGGAGTAGGAGTTAACCAGCTGCTCCTCCTCGGGCATTTTGAAAATCTGCCTAAACTGTGAGGTCATCACCTTGACGTCGGCGGATTCACCGGTGTTATCTTGATTGTTCTGCGTATACAGCGATTGGATTTTGCATATGGTGAAGTTGGTCACCTCGTCCTCGTTCTCCATTTCGTCCAGCACTTTGAATAGATTGGCTTGTAGCCATTCCCAGTCCTTGACTATCTCATCCTGGGTGATTCCAATGGCGATTTCTAAGGTGTATATGAATTTAAGTATCTTTAAATGTGTGTTAATACGCAGAAAAGGTCTTTTTGGAGAAAGATACGATTTGAAAAACATAATTAGGGTCCCAAGTGTAGAGTTTGTGTTGAATTCATCTTTCAAATTTTGTTTTGCTATTCTAGGACTTTTGTTTTTGATTTGTTTTCTTCGCACAGATTGTATGCCATTGCTATTCCACAAGTACTTATTTCTAGAGTTTTTCTAGGTTATGTTCCCCAATCCCGGCTTCATCTCTCTTTTTGTTCCCTTAATTAAAACACAAAAGAAACGAGCCAGACCCCTGCTTAGTAATCTGAAGCGTAGCGAGTTTACGTAAGCGATGCCGAGATGAAAGAATTATTGACGTACTCCCATGAAAACCCAGAGCAACCCAATCGCGATGATTCACGGCCACAGAGATTGCTGGCCAAAGACCCGCCCAGCCTGCCGCCCCACCAACTGAAGCCGATAAGGCGCACAATGGGCTTGAACCTACCGTAAGAAACCTCCGACGATGGCGTCTGATGGAGGATGCGGTACGGCGGCGGTTTGCTGTTCATCATACTGTCGTAGGTGCCCACCAGAATGGACCCGAAGCCGCGTGACTCGCCGTGACTGCGCCGCTTCTGCAGGACAAAGTATCGCGAGTGCATCTCGGCAATCCTGTGGAGAGAAGTGGAAGAAAGGAATGTACTGGGATTGACAGTGGATTCACGTTACATGGCAATTCTTTCGGGGCGGTGCATGTGCGCGCGCCAGTATGTGTGCGTTCAAGTGTGGGGGACTTTTTCTACGCAGCAGGAAACAGTTGGAAGTAAATTTTCAAGCTGCTCCAGCAGCAGCTGCGCTTTTATTTGTTCTTGAGTCGTGAACTCTGCCTCAATTAGTTATCAACCAATAGAGAATCAAACTAAGCACAGCTACGCGGTTCATGCGTGGCTCCCTTGCGCGATCCGCAGCTCCTGGTGTGAAATGCATTTCATGATTATCTCTGTCCGTGAGACACCTTCCATAAACACACAACAATGCATATACACATGCCAGCACACACACATACGCACCCGTGCCAGAACCAGCGGCAGGTTTTCGGCCTCCAGGAGGCTGCTTGCTCGCTTTTAGTTAACCACTTACCAGAATGCCGAGGGCAGGAGCAGTTCCTTCGGCTGAATCCACATCCTAGTCGGTTCTTGGTAGCAAAAAGAAAACAAAATTTATCTTTGTTGAAGAGCTGCTTCTTGGCAATCCGAAGAATTGATTTTCCAGCCGACCGTCGGAAAACACCTGCCAATGGCCGAAAGTACGCGTATCTGGTCGTGGGCTAAATTTACTCTCGAGCATTGCCCCGAACCGCAATAAATCGTAAAATCCGTGTTTTCCTTTTCTCAATTGTTGTCTTTGGTCTTTGTTGTTGGTCTGCGGTGTGCCCGCCTGCCTTGCCGGTCAGAATGGTGGAACGCATTGCCAAAGTGTTGGCATTTCTTGTCACCCCGGCAAATGGTCACACGTAATGCGACTTACTGGAACTTTTGCGCCTTGCCTATTTTCCGGCTCTCCCCGGCGAAAAACTTGACAAGTAAGTAAGCTAACGCCGGAAAGCCGATTTATGTACACCCTGGCAGATCGCTATTAAATCAACTTCATTGAATTTTGCATTGCAAAGCAAATTAAATTTTTTTACTGATGCCTTCGTTTACTTTGTAAATAATGGCAATGTATCTCTTTATACAGAAATACGGATGATGCAGCAGATAAGATGAAAATTAAGTATAAACTGATAATAATAATAACAAAATAAAAAATGGAGCTTTAAATTTATAAAAACTCGAAGGTTGTCAAACACTCCAACGTTGAATGGGCAGCACACTTTCCTCACTTGCAACGCTTTCGAGTTTCATTAGCCTTTTAGCTTTCAGCTGCATTGGCGCGTCACAAAACCATCTGTTTTGCAAAAGGTCAATGATTGATGGCCGATTTTTGGGGTCCACAGTGAAAATTTCGTTAATGAGAAGCTTCGCATCATGGGAAACTTCCTCCCATGACGGTGAATCATAGGTGAACTCTCCCTTCTCTATTTGATCGGTAAATGGAGAGCCGTTTATTGAACCGAAGGGCCACGATCCGCTCAGGCAGCAGTAGAGTACTACTCCCAAGCTCCAGATATCCACTTTTTTTGTGTAAACAAGTATAACGCCGTCCCGCACAACCCTACTCAGTCCAAAATCGCACACCTTCAGGAGAGTCTCCTCGTCCTTGGTCTCCAGCAAGATATTTTCCAGCTTGAGGTCGCGGTGGATTATGTTGCGGTCATGAAGATACTTAATTGCATGACAGAGTTGGTAAAAGTACAGTTTAGATAGCTCCTCGCTCAGATACGTGTTGCTAACTATCCGTTCAAGGAGATCGCCGCCAGCCATAACCTCCAGCAGAATATAAACGGTCTTGGGATTTTCAACAGCGTCGTGCATACGCACTACACACGGATGCGTTAGATTCTTCATGATATTGACCTCGTTTATTTCTGGAGCTCTACGCCGGCGTCTCGACACTTTTTTCTTCTTCACAATCTTCATCGCTAACTGCTGGCCGGTGCGAATATCTTTGACCAGACGCACCAGTCCGAAGCCCCCGGCGCCAAGTTCTGAAACTTCATTATATGTTTCGGCTAACTCCGCCGGCAGCCTGAAATCCATGAACTCAAATTTATTGTCGGCGGTCTGGGATAAGGAAATAACGTCGCCATCATTCAAAATGCGCCTCTTGTTTTGGCCAATCTTTTCCCTATTCACAAAGGTACCGTTTAGTGAGGCATCCTGAATGTAAGCAGGACTCTTCAGGTCACAGTTGGCTAGCTCGATAATAAAGTGGACTTTTGAAACGAGTATCAGGCTGTGCTTGGGCAGCTCGTCGAGTGTAAGGACCAAATCATTATCCCTGCCACGTCCCACGGAGAACTCCTCGTTGTTCAGATCTGAAATACAATTTAAGAAAAAAACCTCTTGATTGGGACGAAATCAAAACTTAACATAAGGGGACAATATATAAGACATTTCAAGATTGTACCCAGTAGTTTTAAACTTTTGTTCACGATGCCGCGCAGTCTGCCCCAGGTAATCTTTTGCTGGGTCTCATGTTGCATCTCGTTGCTGCTTGCTTGATTACTTGTTTCCGAAGATTCTGTAGAGTTACGTTCCATGCTTGATTTTCCGTTCTTTCGCACAAACTTCTCTAATTCGATGCTTGTTATTGGAGCACAACGCTTTCTTTTTTAATAAACTAATTTCCAGGAACTGAAGGACAAATAATTAAAATTTATTTGCGGAAAAGCGCTCAAGCGCTGGTGCTGCCAGATCAGGAAAAGCTATCGGTGGCGCCAGTGTTGCCAGCTCATTAGGGCAAAAAAAAACCAAGCCCACACGTAAAAAAAGCTAGAAACAGTCTGACATTCGGCATTTAAACTTTAAGTTTCACTTGTGAATCTATGAAATACATCGATAGCGATGGTATAGAACTTTAGTAAAAATCCAATAAAATTTTGATATTGAAATAAGGTTTATTTCCCGCTAGACGCCAGCTTACAATTTATCCCGCAATTTGCTGCCAAAAAGCTAAATTGGTAACGCTGTAATCGCACGCCACAAACAACTGCTGGCCAGAGTTGCCGCCTCTCCCAGCTAAGGCCAATAAAATAGGCGCGCCTGTTTTGAATTTCAAATATTGACGTTTATTCAGGTTTTAAATGAAATTTACAAAAGGTTTCGGTCTTTCCGGCCATTACACTCAATTACTCATAGCATTATTGCATCGCGCTTCTTACTCGCTGGCTCAATAAATTTGCTGGACTCGCTTTATCTTGTTACATAATTATTTATTGGTTTTTAGGCATCTAAAAGTAGTATATTTATTTTTAGTGCAATTCTTGCTGCTTCTCGCATTGGTTATCTCCGAATAGATTTACAATGATGATTTTTTCACGCATATTGCTGCTGCTGTTCGTTTTGTTGTTGTTTTTTGTTTGTGGTATACATAAGTTACAATTTAATATGCTGCGCTTTACGTTTAACTTAAATATTATTAATCACATGCAATAGTTAAATAATAATGATACAAATAATAATTATACATAGTTTGCAACCCGCGTGCACAAACACCTGCCCAGCCCCGATCCAATTCGATCGGTCAAATATGTATAGCGGTATATACAGGTAGGCGTGCGGCGGAAGTTGGCGTTTCCTTTGTTAATTTGCTACTAACTAAATTTCTTGTTCTCGGTCAACTGCTTGCTTTTTACATATTTTTACGCGCTAATCGTTACAGTTTACGCACTAGCATATAATTACGATTTAATTAGTTAATTCATTTATGTATTTGTATATATATATATATAGATATACATATATATATATATATATATATATAGATTTCATTCTTATCGCCGTATCAATGCATATTTCATATTCATTTGTGTATAAACTATATATTTGTTTGTTTTTTAGAGTGTCGCCAGCGCTGCTCTCTGGATTTGATTCAGCAGCGCTCTGCCCACTGTAAAGTATCCGTTAGATTGCAACAATAGTTTCGATTTCGAATTGCAGATTTCGAATCAAAGATTGCAGATTGCAAATTGCGAAATTGTGCGCTGAACTCTGCAGTTCTTCTTGTAAACTTTCGCATGCAAACTCGTTGAACTTTCATAAACTCTAATTAGCTGAATGCATTGAATGACATTACCTCCAGTTCTCCCCGCTTTGTTCATATATAATTTAAATAATGCTACATATAATATACGTATATATATCAATAGATTTCATCGTTTTTCGTTTCCGTTTCCGTTTTTGTTTCTGTTTCTGTTTTGCGTATAAAGCTGTAAGTCTTCTAGTTTTTCCATAAAGTGCGTTTCCTCAACTAAATTCCATTCGTATGCATTTCGCTTCGATTTCCCCAATGGATCGTTCGTTCGCTCAGTTCGAAGAGTGTAGACAACAATAATTTCGTATAGGTTTAACATCCACTGATCTATAGCTAACAGATCTACATATCCGTTGTACGTATAATATTGGTGATTGGATCGCGTCGATTGAACTATTGAATCCATTGAATGTGGTGCCATAGCTTCTAACTTTCTGTTTATCCAGAGCTTAATCGCCTAATTACTCGAACACCGAAAAGGAACAACTTGCTTTGAACATTGAGCTTTACGTACGGTACGCCTATGTATGTATATATATCAACATTTATCTGAACAAACTGCTCGCACACTCTATGCTATGTTATGGGAGGACGACGACGGGGTTCTGCTTGAGTTTGAGCCTACCTTCGTCTAGTAATATGTTTGTTTATTTCGCAATTACTCTCTGGTTTTTGTGTACGCAGAGCCCAACACATCTATATGGCACATAAGTCTAGTTGGACTCGGCATGGAAAATTCGATGAGCTCTGAATTTGGAAAAGCTAGAAGGGAAAGTGGGGATCGCTTTCGCTTCTGTTGTGTGAGTTGTTAGTCGATTGCTAGAGATGAATGCGCTTAGGGCCTAATAAATTACTTGTAACAACTTAAGAATTACACAAATAATAATAATAATAATAATAATGATAATAGTTATTAATTAATGATTTAACTCGATTCTTGTGCATCTGCTGTTCCTCGCGAGACTTATGGCTCTCGCTATCGCCGTCGCTATCGCATTCGCCCTCGCAGCGGGGTCCTGTGTGTGTGTGTTTACTTCATCCCTTGACCCTGGGGGGCAGCATCCTTAACTACAACTACTGAGGAGCATTGTGACTAGAGTGAGGAGCATCCACGTCGCCGTGGTGGCCGCCAGCGGGTTCGACCCACTGGTCTTGCCGTTGTCGCGTGGCTCCTGTTCGGTGATTGGCGGGTTGCCGCCGAAGTTAACGTCGGGGCCTAAAAAATGAGAGTTTTATATTGTTTAATAGGGGTTACTTTGTGAAAGGATATTGAAGAAAAAAAAATCATGTCTGATCAATTACAATATAAAGAATAAGATACGTAACGCTATGAATTCCATTAAAGCTCTATCTCGCGTTGCCCCTCATATGTTCTTTATAGTCCTTTGTCTGACTTTAAGTCTAATATTTCTTTTAACTAAATGAATATAGAACTTACCATCTCCTGAACCATCACCAGAGCCATGGGCGCCACCATACTCCTCCTCATCGTCGCCAATTTGGCCCTCGCCTCCGCCAGAGCCCTCGTGGCCCATGTCGCTTTGAATATCGTGCGACTGTATGCTGTTCGGTGGTGCCTGCTGAAATACAAATAATGAATAATTAATAAATAAACTTTAATGATTAGAATCTGTTGAATCCTACCGCTGCTCCGATGCTCTGGCGGATCTTGATTAGCTTGTCCACCAGCTCGTTCAACTGGCTGCCCTGGGCCATGGAATTGAAGGGCACCTCCGGATTGTACCGCTGGGCGTTAATGCCCGGACTAATCAGCAGTTGGTTATACTCCCCGAATCGATCGCCTGTCCAGCAGGAGTGATCCTCGCGAGAGTGGTGCTCGTCACAGAAGCTGCAAAGTGTATGTAGATAAAGGGATTTTGGTAAGCTGGTGCTTTTAACTCATTCTAAATTTGTATTTCACCCCACTGGTATTGTCAACAAAACAAAAATTATTATTATACAACACGATACACATATCAAAAAATTGGAACAAAATGTTCAAGGAATTGGTCCTGTTCATCCATAAATTGGCTCACGACTTTTGCTTGGCCCCTCCAAAAGCTCCGGATACGCGACAAGTAAGTATATATACATATAATATATATATATTACTTAGTACATAACTTAATATATTAATAAAACTGTTCTTAGAGCTGTCGCTTGCCGGTTAAGAATGGGTTCTTAGCCAACTTGATTTTCTTTATTGCCATCGGAACACCGCTATATTTTTGCCTGCTGAAGGATGTGGTCGATATGATCCGAAAACCCGCAAAGAAATCCTCTTAAAATGTTAATTTTTCACTGCAATCTATGGGTCGGTCGGTCAGTGTTACTTAATATATGAAAATAAACTAATATAGTTTGCTGGTTACTCACTTGTCCACAATGTTCGTGTAGAACTCCTTGCTCTGGTCGATGGTGGACAGGAAGCGGACCATTCCCGGATCCGGGGGCGTGGCGTACTTGATGGCAATCTTGTGTGGCAGAGGCTTAGCATCCGGCTCTCCGGTGGCATAGGGCGTCAGGCTGGGCGATCCACAGGTCTTCTTCACCTGGAGATGGACATAGAGATAGGTTATTAAGAGTGCGGGCTTCTTTCATCGCCTAATCACCGCCGTTCATGCAACCAGCACGTGTGCATGTAAATTGCAACTCTCAGGGGGGATTGAGGCCCCTTACTTCCCACTTTAATTTAGCATTTTAAATTCCCAACAACAAACAATAATTATGCGGATGCCATGTCCACGTTTAACAAGCTCTCGAAATGCCACAGATACTTTTTCGAGGCTTCTGCTGCAGCGATCGGACTCGGACTTGGACTTTGGCTTGAAGGCCGGAACTGAATTCCGATCACTTAAAATGTTCATAAATTAAGTGGCAATTAAACCATTAAGCGAACGTGTCCTTGGGACGCAAGTAAATGAAATCGATCGCATCATCTGATGATCGAAGCGAGTTCAAAAGAGATTGCTGTGAGTTTCCACTCAAGATATCCTCAGAAAGGAATTTTTTAGCTAAGATAGTATTAACAATAGTTGTGCAACTTGTGCTACGAATGGTTTTGATGGATCCACTTACCTTTTGTTCCAATTCGGAGTCATTATGCATGGCTGCCATGATTGCATCCGAGAGCCTTGATTGCAACTGCTTGATGACAGTAATGATGCCGTTGTCCGAGAGAATGTGGGTGGTGACCAGGTTGTTGAGGGCATCCACGACACTCGACCAGGGGCTGTCCAGCAGGCCAGCGTACTCTGCCGAGCAGCCACTAAAGATTATAAAAGTATTATAAATAAATAATAAGATAAAGACAAATAAGAATAATTGAGTAAGTGGTTGTTTTTATATTAATATATAATTAATGTTTCAATCGTTACTCACCGCATCACGTTCTTGCAGTATCCGTCGCAGAGCTTGGCCTCTGGCGGCGGATGGTGTCCGTTGCAGTTGGGACAGTAGTACATCTTGAGGAGATGCAGCTTGCAGGAGTCCGTGAGCTTCTCGCCATAGAGTCCATCTGCCTCGGAGATTACCTCGGCGGCCTGGATCAGGGCATTCATGAAGACGTTGGACATGTGGACGCTCTTGCCGAGACTGGCCTGCAGCTGGTGCGGTATGTCCTTGAAGGGACGCAGCTCATCGTAGTTGTGCTGCAGGCAGTTGATGTAATCCTCATGCAACTCGCCCAACTTGTCATTATTCAGATGCACCATCTGGTGGTAGGCCACCGGGAATAGCTGGACAAAGAAGCGATGCACTGCCTCCTCAAGGTGGCTCTGGACACTGCTGATGCCCCCAATGCCACGTCTGCCCAACTGGTCATTGCTGTTCGTGTAGTTCGAGGCGTAATTCATGTGGCTAGAAACGGATTATTATATAATATTTAATAATATTAATACTTATAAAACTGAGTGCCACTCACTTCATGATTTCAGTGTACAAATGACCGATCATCTGGCGGACTCGAGGCACCATGCGGTAGTAGATCGTCGCGAAGACCGACTGCGTATTGTTCTCCGATTGCTGGGCCAATTCCATGACGTGACCTGCCGCAAGACACGGAACACCGAGAAGGAGAAGGAGAAATAGAAGGAAAGGGTATCCATTATAGTTGGTCCAAAGGTATTATTGTGGTCTTATTGTTATTGTTATTCCTAGCGAAATTTAATCACTTTGCTGCCAAAGTTTTCCCCAGCCGGGACCCGCGAAACTTCTGCCCTAATGGCCTGGCTGGGATTTCCGCCCATCACGAACCGAAAAAAGGAAAATAGTTGTTGGCTTTGCTCTCCATCTCTCCCTCCTGGGTAAGCTTTTAGTTAATGAAATACAATTTAATATGGCCATGCCTCTTGTCTGACGAATTCAAATATGAATAAATTTATGGAACTGAGTGTTTGCAATTTAACAGAGAGAAAAAACTAATAAATACGAAGTAAGTACATATAGATATATTTGGTTAGCTTTATTTGTTGTAAGATATATTAATTAAAACAATTGCAATACTGATTATATATACAAAATGAATTCATAGTCAAGCCCTTATTCACTTTCTCATAAGATTCCATAAATCTAATAATATATTCCTCCCTTATGCGAATATTTATCTTTATTTAATGCATATTTATATTTTTTTCCTGTATTCTGGTGAGACTACTACTAGTCTCTTGTATTTAATTACCAGCTATCAGTTACTATCTATAATCCGTCAATCAATTGGCGAATCACGCGGAGCAAGTTGATAAATTCTCTTAATATTCAGACACTAATCACACGGCTGAGCGAAAGAAAAACCTAATGTGACACAATGTTATCTGTCAAGGTGTCAGCGGCAGTTTGTGCGAATTGATTTGGATACACAGATTGGCTATCGAAACACACGGCTAAAGATACAGATACAGATACAGATACAGATACAGATACAAATACTTATGCAGATACACTCCTCTGGCAGCCTGTCATTATCGCAGATTACAAATGCCCGAGGTCGTCGGCTCTGTTTCTGTATATATATCTGATATATGGAGATAGCATTGAGAAACTGTCAAATCGGCGTGTGATTTCTCACCCTGCCCCCTTGGTTCTTTGTATATATTTTTGGGGTCCTCTGACAAAATTCTAAATTGCAATACGCTGTCTTGTATATCGTTTTCAAACGAAAGTGTCAATCTTGCTGTTAATTGGCTACAAAAGAACACACAGAACATACATTTTCAACCTTTTTTCCCCTTTTTCTCTTTTTGGTTTTTTGGTTTTCTGTGAGTTCTTTGCTGCGGCTCAATTTGATTTTGATGTTGGAGCATTTCCGTTCTCAGCGTTTGAATGCGACTTTGGGTCTGTGTATTTTTTGGGCTTGGCCCTGGGCCGGAGCTAGGGAGCCACTTGGATGTGTCAGTGTCGAGGTTTGGTTCAGAGTCCGCTCCATCGGCTAATGGCCTTTGATGCGTCAGAGTTTACCCTTTTTAATTAGCAAAAACTAACGAAACATAAACCTAAGATTGCCCCTCTATTCTTTAGTTTTTCAAATCAAAAATGGGGCCTAACATCTGTCAATTATAATTTGCAATACATTTCTCAGATAAAATAACATAAAATTACTAGTGATAATGACTATGCTTTCAAAGTGTGATAATTCTTGGGTAAAAACTCTTTCTAATGCTATGCCAGGGCTTTAATAGAGGCTCTAATAATGACTTGACTGTGGCTGACAATTCCGCAGGATGCGATAAATCGATAAACAATGCCCGCCAATTGATTTAAAGCGTTCACAACTCAAACCCAACAGATACAGAGATACGGAGATACGGAGATACGGATACAGGGTGAGGAAGTTCGGGGAGCTCACACATCCTGTCGCTAATCTCATTGACGTGGCATAGTTTAAATGGAGCCGTCGACTGGCGGAAACATTTAATTATTGACACGCCGCGTCGAACGTGTTGATGCGCGGATATATATTCGTTCTCACACAGAGTTGTGTGTGTCGCATATGTACATATATATATATATAGGCGACATCGGGATCCCGGCTCGATTGGCTCATTAAATCGGCGGGGCAACTGGCTCAGAGTGAACCATTAATAGGGGGAAGGAAAGGAGATGTAGATGGAGCCTGAGATGAGGAAGTGCGGATGCTGCTGGCAATTACTTGGCTGACATGCCTTGAATACCTTCTATTGATGGAAAGTATTTCCTTCAGGGAAGCTGGGAAGAATGTTTAAAATGAACCATTGATGATCTTACCTACCAAAAGAGTTGGATTTCTTTATATAAATAAACATATTCGTCACATTTATTTGTGATTGGTTTCTTAAATATTTAATAGAGCTCAAAGTAAAAGTATTTAAATGCAAAATTTAAGACAAGATGCATGCCATTGCTGACTTCCCTCTAATATATAAACCCAACTCAGTCTATTTCCCTTATTTCGCTTTGTTGACGGAGTATTTGGATGCTGTAGTGGCACTTCATTCGCTTCACTGCCTAATTGCAATTTTAATGAACTCTCTCTCTCTCTCTCTATTTATATCTATCTATCTATCTCTATCTGCGAGCGATTGTCAATTGGTAAATTGCTGAAAGCAGCCAACGCTGCGTATACTTGATATGTATTATTGCAGCTGCCTTTGTTGGCTTAATATGCTCAATTAAGTTGGGGGCCCACACACAAACGGACAGAGCTGCCTCAGGTGGGTTACATTTGTATCTTTGTATCTCATAAATTGTTAACTCAGCACTTCACCTGCGGGCACTCACTCATACAGACTCACCCGAGCATTTACTGTTGTGCAACTAATTGCAATTTCTATCTCTGTCCAGCTTCATCTAAAGGAGCCATCTATGTCCGTCCAGCCTGACAATTAACCAAGGGCATTTTTATTGCGGCTACCAGGGATATAGCATATATCTCTATAGTATGTATGTATCCTTGGAAGGCAATCAAATATAAAGCAGGGCAAATGGCATTCCCAATGAAACATGAAAATTACATTAAGCTGGGGGGAGACTTTTTTAAAGAGAATGGTCACACATGGAAAATCGCCCTAATGGGCAAACACAGACAATGAAATTGAATTAGACAACCCAGAGCGGCCGAAGTAAAGTTGGCCAAGGTGCGGGTTCGAGTTCCAAAGCTTAAAACCAAACCCACAGGCAGGCACTAAATACATATATATTCATATAGCTAAAATGTATGATCCTGCACAGAGATATATTTAGAAGATAAACCAATAATAGCTTAGTTAGTTATCCTTACTTTTACAATTGAATTTTCTAAAATTTAACCTCGTTTCTATGTTTGGAAGGATATTTTTCTTCCTGTGCACTTCTTGGCTATTCGCATAGAGCAAATATCGGTCTGGGCCTTCATTGCTTCATTAGAAGTCGGCGGCAGGCAATATTAGCATGCTGGAGTTCGAGTTTCAGGCGACCAGCGACCGGTTTGGGTATCGGTTTTGGGATTCGGATTCGGTTTCGCCTTTGGATTCGGATACGGGGACGCGGATTCGTGGCCCGGGGGGCAGGCCCCAAAAGCCTCGACTGAGGCAGATGCGACCGCGGTCCAGGGGCCTGTGTTGTTGTTTCCCACGGCATTGGCAAAAATATGCAGCACACAAGCACACACCAAGCACACACACCAAGCACACACACAGCCCACAGGTTTAGTTTTATTTTGCCCGCTTTTTTCCTGCCGCTTTTGTATTTTTTATATGTATATTTTCTGCTCCTCCGGGCCCATGGTGTTTGCTTGTATTTTGTATTTGTGGCCTGCGTTCCTGTGCGGATATTACAATTTTAGTATCTGCCGCATTTTTTATTTGCATTTTATATGCATGTATTTCCCCCCTGTCAAACCATCCCCATCCGTTGCCTTATGAATGCCAAGGCAACTTTGTTAGTGCTCTTCATTCTTGCTCCTCTTTTTTTATGGTTTTTTTTTCTTTTGCTGCTCAACGGGCTTAGCTTTTTAGCCGCGTTTAGTTTTGTCTTGAACTGTGGCAAGTTTTTTCCTGGCCCTGAAGACGGTTTTCGTCTTGGCCTTCCTCGTCGTCTGTCCGTCTGGCGGAAGCAGCTCTTTGGATTTGCGACCAGAGACCAGCGACTGGTGACTGCTGACTGGGAGGAAGTGGATGCGCACAGTGGTTCTAATTTAGTATTTAGTTATACTCATTTTTGAAATAATTAATAAATATTTGTAGCTACCAAATCTGCCTAGATAAAACCATCTTAAAAGTTCTCCTATCCCGTAGTTTATCATGCCATCTGGTGACTTTTATTCCCACTGTGCGTGGCAGGCAGCTTAAGTGCATGTATTGTAACTAGCTATCTGCAGGCGTGCCAACTTGGCACGCCCCCTTGGCGGAGTACCCGGCAATCCAGCATCCAGCATCCAGCATCCAGCTATCCAGCTTTCCAAGTCGCCACTCCAACAGCTGTGAGCCTGCGGCAATCTGCTCTTGGCAGGCGAACTCATCTCATCCTAACCCAGCCCATGGTACCACCTCAACCCATTCCATTCCCTTCGATCCGATCCAGAGGGCCTCGTCTTCGGGCCCCTACACAATGTCAAAGTAATTGGATGACTTTTCATTGTTGGACCCGGGAGGAGGCAGAGCGGAGTAGAGTTCATGGAGCTAAGCACAGGTCGACCTTTTTGGGTACCGACATATTGAAATGCTTGAGAGCATATGTCTGCATCAATTGGAAGTTATTTGACCTGGGACCAGGTCTGTGCCCCCCGTTTCCCCCATGCGGCGCGAGCGGTTTCAAGTTGCCGTTTTGCCGTTTTTGGTGGCGCGTTAATTACAAGCGCGAGCTTTCAGCGTTTAATTTGCCAAGCAACTAATTATGGTAATTATATATGCACACATATGGAGCTCTGTATCGCAGCAGACAAAATGGCAGCGCTTTTGTTGTATTTTTTTTAAGGCGCTGCTAATTAATGGGACGAGTGGAAATTTAAGTTCGCCTCTAAACAGCTCCATTAGTGATTCGCTATTTGTTTTGCCAAATAAAAGCAAACAATTATAAGCCCAACTAGACTTTAACTGCCAACTGGTTTCGTTCGGCTTTGGGGGCGTCTCCATTTGCAGGTGTTCGATGGTTTTGAACTTCAGTTTCCTGTCGATTTCATTCAGAAATCGAAGCGGAGTCTGAAGGTCGCGGCTAAAAACAACAACAAATTCGTGATATTGAAAAAAAAGAATGTCCAAGATGTGAACGAGTTTTGGGATGAGAACGAAGCACTTAAAAGCTAAGGTTATTTGAGAGGAGAATATGTTTTAGCAATATAGTTAGAACTTTAGCTAAGTAAGAAATTAACTTAAAATTAATGTATATACCATTCATAAGTTGGAACCATGAAAACCCTAAGAAATAAAGAGAATTATTTCGGAAATATATAGTTTTATCTGCGGGGGTTTTTAGTATCCTTTCTCGTTCTTCGTGTTCCCGATAAGTTTTACAAAAATCCCTGGCTTAACTTTGGGTTTGGCTCCCTTGCCTCAATCATACTAAAACCTAATGACATCGGGCCACATGCGATGCTGGTGCAACTGCAACTGCAACAACACAGCAAACACTTGCAACAACACAAAGTCTGGCACTCTGTGACAAGGCAAACAAAAGCCGGCTAACAAGCGATGGCAATGGCCAAAAACCACTTTTGGCCGTAAAGACAAGAAGGCAGCCGGGCCCAAGCACAAGATATGGCCGAAAAGACTTAAGCCTGGCCCAGTTGGAGCCAGGGAGGGGCCAGGGGAATGGGCTTCGGGGGAAAGCAGCAAGTTGCAACTTATGAAAGTGCACGCAGTGCAGCTGCTGTGGCAGCCACACAACAAAAATAAAGATATAATTTCTGCAGTTTTCCCGCTTTTTCTGTTTTTTTTTTTTATGTTTCCTTGCCTTGTCTAAAGGGGCTAAAGTTGTGCCGGCAGAGCAGTAAGTCAGCATTTGGAACTTTTATGCAGGCGCACGCCCCTGCCCTCACAAAGCAAAAAAAAGGGGGTAGAGATTCAAGAGGGGATGGAGATTCGCAGGGGGTAAAGATGCTTAGGGGGCAGGTGGCAGGTGGCAGGATGTGGTGGCAGTCAAACGCATTAAGCGCGTGAGCAACACAACAAGACGACAATGCCAATTTAAACAGTAAAAAAAAAAATGTAAATAAAATATTGTAGGTAAATTTAAATTACTGAGAAGTTAGACAAGTAAAATTAAGTTCATTTTAAACTAGAATATATGGAAAATATATAAATAATAAAATGGCACAAGTTTCAGGAATACTTTAAATGGGAAAGTAATTAGTTATTAAAATGCTCAAAAGAATTGATAAAAAGGAATTTAATTTTATTGAATATTCCACAATCAAACTTCTAATGAAAACTTATAGGTTCATCTAATTCTTAAAAACTGAGAAAACGTTATTTTTGTCAGTGTAGCCACTCTGATGACGATGACGATGACGATGACGATGGTGGCGACGTGGTAAGTAAGTGCAATGAAAACGCATTGCGTTGGTGGAGCGTTGGAAATCGGGGAATTGGGGATCTGAGAGAGCTCTGTGGATTGGGGTTATTTTTGGGGAGAGGTAGGGTATGGGCCCATATAATTCGTAAGCTGCGAAACGTGTTTAAACACGCAAATACTTGCTTAAAAATAATACGCCAAACAAAAAGCAGCCGTAGCAGCATCAGCAGCACAAAAGCGATGGCAAACACAATACGGGGCGGAAACGGAAACAAGGACAGGGGCGTGGCAGCAGGGGAGGGGGGATAGGGGGGAATCTCCACAGGGAATGGGCTACTTCGAACAGGAAGGAAGCCCCGGCTTGTATTGCATATGCCACAAGCTGTTGTAGTTGGCAAGTTTATGGCACAAAATAGAAATATGCATTTATTTCGCATACCATAATATTTTATGCGTTATTTCGCTAGAGAAAGTACACCGGCAGAGAGAGAGAAAGGGGGAGAGATTGCCAAGAAATGCATAAACTTTTATAGTTGCTCATTTTTCGGTGGAGGTTCTTTTGCATCACGCATACGCCGGGTATGCCCTCCCGAAAGTAAATCAATTTTTATGGCCACTCTGCTGCAACTAAGGGTCCGCGTGCCATCGCACAAACTCAACGATAAGTACGCAGTTTGGGCCAGAAGTTTTGTTTGGGCCAAAAAGAAACCCGTTATCGCAGTCAGACAACCAGACAGTTCCCCCGATATCACTATATCACCTTATGCACACTGTATGCTGTAGAATTAATTAGCAAACTGCTTCATAAATCTTACAGATCATTAGCTGCACCTCAGTTGTGCATTCAATTTATTTGCTTTTTGCTTTGAAAATTTAAACAAATTGCTCTCGCAATTGGTTATCAATTATTATCATTTGTTATATTGCCCGATTGTGAAGCTAAATGAATTTGCTGCCTGCATTTTAATTTATTTTTTATGCCCAGTTTTGTTTATTTAATAAAACGTGGGACTTTTCAGTGTTTGGCTTGTGTGACATCATCGTGCATTTTATTCTCCCATGCAAACTGAATGCTAATCAGTTGGAGAATACCCTGCAATATTCAGTACGGATTAAAAGGGAATTAATAATAAAATATTTAAAATATATATGCATTTTAGTATTAAGATAAGCTATATAAATCAATGGATATTTTTTTAAAAGATACAACAGAAAGATACCCAAATTGATACATTGTACTTTGATTATAATATTCAAAATATCTTTAATATTTTCTTAAATGTATAATATCATCAAACAATATATTTTGAATATATTTAATTGTACATTGAGTTCCCAATATACCCCATAGTTTTTTAGTTCCATCATTTAGACTTCCTCAGTTAACAAATTGATAAATTTAAAGAAGCATTTAACTTAATGCACATTATGTTTTATACACTCCCATAGCCGAAAGGAAGCCTCAAAGTTGAATGAGCCCCCATGCGAATGAATCAATGGGATTGCATAAATTAAGCTGATGACAACACACAAAATGCAAACAAATTCGCCAAATGTATTTATATATAAATTTTGAATACTGGGGAATATATACATATATATATTTTTGTGGTCGTATCTGTGTGGGAATGAACTCGTACAATGAGGAGGGCGTGTTTAAAGTCTTTTTTGAATGCGCGCCCATTTCCAAGAATTGCAGACTCAGAACAACAATGAGGCAACATCGCACGGCAGCAACATCACCCAAAAAAAAAAATTCAAAAAACTCGCCTTAAAGTGAAGCGAGATTTACAGCGTGTACGACAACAATTTGCAGGCACTGTGCAGAAAGGACGGAGAGGGACTCGGGGGGCGTGGCAGTGCCGAAACGTGACCCACACAAAGTTGTGCAAAATTGTCTAAAAAAGGGACGGCAGCCGAGCGGCAACGACTACAACAATATTATTTAATGCCTTTTTAATTAGATGCAGTCCAGAGTCGCGCTGGCTGCATTTTAAAACAGGCACAGGATGGTTATGGTTATGAATCGACTGTTTGTATACAGATACACTTTGGGCACATGTTTATATCAGTTTATTATACAGTCGCTTTGATCTGCATACAAATTCAAATTACAAATCAATTTCGCATTTCGCGTTTCAAGTTTAATTTGGTTAGCTCACTTCGCGGATGGCGAGTCGAGCTAAGCTTTTTATCGTCATCCCGAGACCGGGCTGCTGCTAAAATTTGCATACGATAAATTATTTATTGCCACGAAAATATATATATTATACTTTGGTCTATCGCCCGCAAAAAGCTCAGCCAGCAACTTTCCAGACTCTTTGCCAATTTGCATAGAAGCCCATTTCGTTGGCTTCTTTATCAGTCCATCCATTCCCTTTCGATTTCACTTAGGTCTCCTTTTCTAGCCAACCCCCTTTAGTCCTTTATATGGCTTGTTCTACTCACTCTGGAATTGCTTAACATTCGTCTCCAGGACTCCTCGCAGGCTGCTCGTGTGATGGTGCAACAGCAGCTCAAATTTCCCGGCGGCCTTGTCGCGCAGCTCCACTTCCGTAGCATTATTGCAACAGCTTCCGCCACAAATGGCGCCTGAAAGGGTAAAGAAAATGGTGGAGGTTTAGTACAGATTAATTAGGTAAAAATACAGAGAGATGAACGACAAGCTAAGCAAGGGTTTATTAACTATTTAATGACTAAAACAATTAAATATTTTGATATTTTGCATTCTTTACTTCCTGATGAGTAATTATTAGTCTATTCATTGAACCGAGCTCATCTTCTGTTGTGCAATTATGAAACGCCTGCTGCGCCTATATCATTTTCGAATTATCGCACAAATCAAATATTTACCCATGGATCTGTGGTCGTGTGTGGGCGTGTGGGCCGTCTGGTTTAATTGTTTATGGCTTTAAAATGGCAGTGGGCGTGTTGGCCAGCTCAGGCTGTATTGCAGCCACAACAAAGTGGCCAATAGTTTTCGATTGGCGGCGTGGGCTGAGCAATTTATTTATACGAGTATAAAGACCATGATGCATGCAGAAGTAGGAACCGCCGCTCGTCGTCGTCGTGTTCCATCATTGGCGGTCGCGTTAATAACTTTTAAATGGCTCATAATTGCAAATTATTTAGCTGCTGTCGGCCAGGCGACACAAACGGAGCAGTTTCCCTGTTTTCCCCTCTTGTTGGCCATAAAACTCGCAGCATGCCACAAAGTTTTTTGGCGGCGTTGATTGTTTTTTCAGCTGCCACTACAAAATACGAGAGCATTCCACTAATGACAACCCTCAATACTGGGGACTGAAGGGGTAAAACTTACTAATCGCTCTGGCCCAGAAAGAATTCTCTAATGAAAGAAGCAGAGGAGAGAAATGGGTTGAGGGAAGCCCGCAAAAGCCAGGACAATAAATATCCGGACAAAAGACCGTTGATTGCCAGGACTTGAAAGATGTTGCTGAATTGAAAGGGAATTGTTTGTGCATTGCTATCTGCAAGATACTTATTCACAGAGCTTTATAGATGCTGCAATGAATCGATTTATTCTACATCAAAGTTCAATTAATAGCAATCGGTGAGCATAAAGATAATTTAAGGATAATTCCAAATAAAATAAATCGAATTAAATGGATCGATGAACCTATTCATCTGTTTATAATCGTTTTTTGAACGTAACTATAGCTTAAGCTAATCGATTGGCAAAAATACTAATATTTTTTTAGGCAAATATAATATTTAGGTAACGCATTTTGGGTTTTAAACACTCCCACTCTTTATCCCTTCACCAACTGTTCTGAATTTCAAAACGAACGCCATTAAATCTTCCAGTTCGACACACACATATGTATGTACATATGTGTTAATGAGGGAAATCCCCCGGATCCGCGCTGGTGACATAAATTTGTGGAGAAACAAATCGTGTGACAGGCTTTTTATGACAACTGCTATGACAACAGCAGAAACGACAGCGACTTTTATGGACGCTCGCCCCACCATCGCTTTGTCTTTATAGTTTATAATTTAAATTAATGGCTTTTACACGATGTTTACGGCCCCGACAACCTCTCACACAGCTCGATATCGCCGAGTGCCCCGATTAGGTGGCCATATGTTGCTGTCATAAAATTAGCAAACGAAATGAATTTGAATTTGATAAAAGCAGATGCAGACTGAGATGCAGTCACCATCTATTTCGGTTAAAACCAATTACAAAAACATCAATAGCTGCAGTAAATGGCCCGAGAGTATTGCAAGGCCATGACACATATTTGGCCTGGAAAATGAAATGGAAAATGACAACTGACTTGGCACAAAGATGACACAAGCCCCGCCGGCGATTGTCGATTGACCTCCTGTCAGTCAATCAAAGTTGACAGAGACGAAACCCAAACAGATTTTAGTTATGTGCCATCGATTGGCACAAGGCAAACAGGCCATCTCGAGTGGCCCAAAAGGATTTGGCTTCCGATTTTCTATTCTTTTTCGTTGCTTCAGCGTGTGCGATTGCATTGTATAAGCTATCGATTAGGGGCTGCCCTCCAGGCTCCCATGACCATGATGTGTTTATGCGTTTTTGCAACTGCTTGGCCATAAATCGGACCACAAGGGCGGCGGCAATCCTTCCGCATGGCAGTTGGCCAGGAACCGAAACGGAGGCAGACACACGGGCGTCACTCAGCCAGCGAGTCACTCTGTCTGGGGGGGAAAAAGTAAAAAAATACTGGAAAATGTCTAGAAAAAATGGCTGCAGAAGAAACTGTGGAAAACGGTAGCCATCGCAAAGTCAAACCTGTACGGACAATGTTGGCAAATTCTACGTTTTCTGTGGCTCAAGAGCTCTGAGCTCGAGCGGCAGAAATTCAATTCAATTGCTGCAGCGTCCATGCATACCGTGCTCTCCCTCGTCCTCATGTGCCTGCTGCATACATATATCATGATGTGGCCCAGAAAAGTATGCTATGGCAAACTGGTCCTGGCAACGGGCTGCCAAATTGCAAAAGGAACGTGAAAGGAAGTCGAAAGCAGGAGAAGTGGGGAAAAGGACAGGGAAAAGGGAGGGTATTGGGAGAGGTGGGAAGCGAGGAGAATAGTAAGAGGCAGCTGAACACTTCGAGAAATTATCAAACAATCGTGCAAGATATGTTTAAATTCTTGTATTACTTATTTTATATTGATTATTGTTTAACACTTGTTATTTGCATTACTAAAATATATGCAATAATTTATTTTTATTTCTGAATATTTATCCTTTTCTAAGCATATATTTAAAATCAAGTAAGTCAAAACATTTCTCATCAATGCATCATCGGTGTGAGTAATTTTTATGACTAATTATTGCTTATATATTTTCTTCTTAAAGTGTTTTTCAAACTGATGACAAATATGGATGATTTATTAAGCTTTCTTGTGGTATTGTTATATTTTTTCCTGTGCTGAAAAGTCCAATGGTTTGGGGTGTAAAAAATGCAAATCTCATGCATGGCCAGAAAATGCTCTGCCAAAAATACCAAGAAACGGCCCTGACCGCAAAAAGGAAGGAGGGATAAAGCAGTGGGAAGTGGTGGGAAGGGGTGTTGGCCCCATTACCCCCTCTCTGCTCCTATGCACTCAGTCCCTCCCTCTCCCTATATATATATATTTTCAGGCCTTGTTTTCCAGCCTGTCACCGCAAATGCAACTGACGACGTGTGCGAATTTGTTTACTGTAATTGTCTTCACTGTGGCCTAAAGGGGAGGCCAAGAGAGGGTGGAGTACGCACAACCAGGCCTTTATACACACACACCATGGCACTATATATATCCATAGAGATAGGCTCTGGCTCTGGCTCTGTGGTTACTGTCTTTTGGCATTAGCCAAGTTGGCTGGCAGCCAAGAAAGCGCTTAGCCCGCAATACTCTTGGCTTGGTGAGTGGATTTAGCATACCTTGACATATTTCGAGTGTCCTTACTCCGCCTCCACCTCGCCACTGGTACACATCCTTGGGATGGGATATCCCTGTGGCACATGCTACTTGTATGCGTTTTCAATTTGCACAATTTACTGTGAACGTGTTGATAATAATGAAGCCAGGACCCCGGAGAATTTTGCCGTTGCATTTGCAGCCCGTCAAAATGTCGGAAAGTTGGGCCTGGCTTGCAGTTTGTAATTAAAACAGATGCCTGCTTGCTCTGCAGTAATATTTTGACAGCCAGTGTATGAGAATTTATTGCATTCCGGGGAGCAGGAAGGGAGTTTCCTGTGTTTATGGGTCAGCATTAATGTTTAGAGATTTTTTTTTGACGTAGAACAAATAAATGTACTTTTAGCAGCAGGTTATTATAGTAAAAATATACTTTAATGTACCTTAAGTAAAATACTAGCATTTCTAGTTAAACTAATTGTTATTATTCACTCTTCTCGGTAACATTAAATTCATTTCTCTTGAGTCTGAGAAGTTAAAGCCATCTTATCAGCCTCAACAAATCTAAGCTAGCTTCAATGTTTACTCTATGATATACACTTAAAGTATATATATTTATTTCTACTAAAGTTTTCACATGTTCCTGGTATAATTTACGACCTTGATTGAAAATCAATTTGTTTCCCCCCCCATCTCTCAGAGGGGCCAACAAATAGTCGAAACGATTGCCCGAGGCCATAAATTCCCTAATAAATTTACGAACGTGCAACACTCGACACTCGACGCTGCAATGCAAACCAAATAAAAACATCCGTCGCGGTCTCCATGGGCTTCCTATCGTCGCCGCCTCTGCTAAGGGGGGTGTTAAGGCGGGCTATTAAAGGGGGGTGGGTGCATGTCACACACAATAATTTCATTTTAGTTTTACTTCAATTTTTTTATCAAAAATTGTTGACAACTACTTGTCAAACACGAACAATTTGTGCAGCGGCGGTGCGAGGGCGATAACAATTAAGTCAACAAGGGGTTTAGGGGTTAGGGAACCCCATATCGTTGTGCTTGGCCTGCTGTCCGCTTTATGGTTCGTCGGTTTCTGTTTGCTGTTATGACACGTTTGGCCCAAACATAGATCATCGCCAGATCTCTGCTTTCCCTATATTCACTTTTCCATTTTCATTTCCTTTCCCCTATTTTTTTTGTTTCCCTTTCCTGAAAAACTGCCTTTAGTTCGTTGAACTATGCCCGTTTATATTTAGCCAAGGCCCCTATAAATTATGGGCAGCAATTGTTGTTATTTGCCATTTCGAATATCTTATCAATACTGCTTTCATTTGAGCCGAATCAATGTCAGCAAACTTTTTGCCAACCGAAACTGATATAAATTGTGTCAGCTTCCGAGGCAGGTAAATCCCTGGCTAAAAAAATACAGGTGATACAGTGAAGCGTGGGTAAAGAACATACAAATTAAGGAAGAATATGTATTAAATTTTGGGATAAACATTAAGTAAAGGGTTAAATGAGCTACTAAACTCACAAACAAGATGTATCAATTTTTCTTAATTAGTATAAATTACATCCTATGTTTAAATTAATTAATAAAGATACCAGATTGCCTTTATAAATTGTCAAAATTTTTCAAATTCTCTTGTAGCGACTTGCCACCGTTTGTGGCATTTTCAATTATTTGTTATTTT